CCCGCTCGCTCCCCGCGGCCGGGCGGGCTCGGCCGGGCTCTAGGGGGCCATGGGTCCCGCCCTGCCCGCTCAGCCGCTCCGGGCTCCGGGCGCCGCTGGCCGCTGCCTGAGGAGGAGCCGCGCAGCCGCCGCCGCCATCTTGGTCCTTCCGTTTCCAAGGGGGGGGCGCGCGCGCGGGGAGCGCCGCTACGGGCCGCCGCGTGGGACACGGGACAGGAGAGCGCGGAGCCGCCTCCAGCGCCCCCTGCAGGGAACCGGCGGTCAGGCACTGCCCCTCGCTGGGATGGTGACCCCACATGGGCCCAGGGGTAGGGGCTGCGAGTTGGGGGTGAGGGACCATGCTGGGTCATGCTGAGGAAAGGTGTGGGAAGCACTGGCCTAGGGGCTCATGTTTCCCTGCTTGGGAACCCTCCTGCCCTTCCATGGGGAGAGGACAAGGGCCCATGAGCTGAGTCTTCTCAGTGCCCGCTGCTTGCCATGCGAGTGCCAGGCAGACTCCAGCCCAAGCTCCCCGAGCCGCCCGCTGCCCGTCCCCCCACCCTGGGCCTGCTGGGGCAGGAGGAACAAAATGATATGCTTTATTGGTTCAGAAATAAGGGCGAGTGGGAGCTCGGCAGGGCAGGCCACGGGCTCAGGGATTCTTCCGCGCTCCTCTCTGCTTCTTCTTGGAAGTCCTGGTCTTGCTCTCAATGAGATTCAGCCCCTGCTTTTTGATCTCCTCCCGGTTGGGCACAAAGCTCTGGTCTTTGTCAGCAAAGTCAAAGGCATCTGCAGAAACAGCAGAGTGAAAGGGAGGCGAATGGGAAAGCCAGTGGCCCCTCAAGGGCTCTAGAGTTTCATCTCTCACCGCCTAAAACAATTTTGGGGGGAGGCGAATCTCTGTGGCTGCGTCTACATGAGACGCTTGCTGAGTGCTCATTACTGCGCAGCTACTTAATACTTCTATACACAAGTACTAAACGACTCCACAGTAACCAGTTACTGTGCAGTAGCGTCACTGAACGGCTTTTAAGGGACTCCGACTTGTGTAGTAGCTCATTACTACTGCACAGTAGCGTCGCGTCATGCTTCGTGCCACGCGACACTACCGCGCAAAGTAATGAGCTACAGCAGTCAGCATCTCTTGTAGACGCAGCCTGCGAAGTGGCACTAGACCTTGCTTACACATTCAAATTAAAGCCGGATAGAAACTAGGGAGAGTTGTTACACATTTTCAAGCCGTAACTTTGTAGCTGGTTGGCTCTTTTCATAGCTGGATAGTCATTTTTATGGTGTGAAAATGACTGTGTATGTGTGGCTGGTCTAAACTCTCAGTTCTTATTTAAAAGTTTCTAGCCAGTTTCAAAACCTGATCCTGAAGGGTCCCATGCTAAAGGGCAAACAAGCTCACCCAAGCCTTGATTAGGCTACAGTTGTATGGGTTTAAGCCAATTTAATTATGCTAAAACCCAAATGATGATTTGAACTCAGCAGTACTATAACAGAGCAAGAGAATCTGCTGGATCAATAAGGACGGACCAAAACAAAGCATGAGACATTTAAGCCTTGATTATGTATCTGGAGGTTCCTAGAGGATGGTTATTGGGATAGGATTCATCCATTGCTGAGTCTTGGTTCCTCTGATCCTGAATGCCCCCACAGTACAGTAAAAACTATTGATCAGAGAAGCATGGGTGCAGCCTTCCCTTGAATACACCAGTGAGCCCATGGAATGGCCAGTGAGGCTAGATTACCAAGCCAAGCCTACTTTCTGTCACCCAATACAGGTCCATGTCTACCTCTACAGTGGAAAACAGGTGAAAAGACTGAGGTTCCCAGAGGATGCAAAGGTTATTGCAAATGTTGCTGAACTCTTCCCATTCTAGCTACAATTCCTCAGCGCTCTTTCACCATCACTGACATCTGCGTACCTCTCACAACATCCTCTTCATCCTCAAAAGAAATCTTCAGGTTCTGAGGCTCAGCCTTGGTTGTTTCCTCCAGAAAATTTCTAACCTTCACAAAGCTCTGTAAAATACCACTTCAGGTTAAATATGGGACTGGGAAGGGTAAAAATAAGAGACACACTGAGGGGCATTTAATGTCTCGAGGTATGTCTTCACAGCACAGTTAACACAGGTGATTAGCAACTGAATTAACTTTGCAGTGTGGTTGCTTCAGGCTTTGACTATGTTGTACTGTCATTGGAGTGTTGCACCCATCTGCATATGTTGCAAAGAATGCTTTGGAGAACTGTCACAGGGGTATCGGTTGTAGCTGTGTTGGCCTAAGGACATAGGCAGACAAGGTTCTTTGGGTAAATCTGACATCTTTTATTAGACCAACTCAAATAGTTGGAAAAATTCTTCTTTGCAAGCTTTCAGGTATAAATATCCTTTGTCAGGCTGAGGAAGCATCTGCAGTTGGTGTGTGCTCTTCCTGGATGGAATGAATTCCAGCCCTCAACTTCTGTGAATCTATGACTAGTAAAGAAGCCAAAGGCTGGTATGCATGCAAGAAAGCAAGTCAGTGAAGATGTAACTTGAGGAGTCAGTGGGTGAGAGACAGGGGAATTAATGTAGGTGTTAAAAGGTGGAGAAGTACCTGGGGAGTCGGATGTTAGGCAGGTTATAATGTGTCATAAATCCAGTGTCTATATTTAGTCCATGATATTTTGTATCCAGCAGGTTGATGAAGTGAAATTCACTCGTCTGTGAAAGGTTCAGAGGCTCGTCTGTGAAAGGTGTTTTGTAAATTCCCTTTGAGGATTAGAACTGAGAGATTGAAGAGAGAATGGTTGTCTTGTGAGAAATGTGCCCCCACTGGTAATTGGGTATTCTTGTCTTTGATAGATTTCCAGTGTGCGTTCATATGGTGCATGGTTGTTGTTGGTCTCTCACATATGTTCCATCAGGGCATTTGCATGCACCAAATTACCCAAGAATACCCAATTATCTGTGAGGGCACATTTCTCACAAGACAACCATTCTCTCTTCAATCTCTCAGTTCTAATGCTCAGAGGGAATTTACAAAACACCTTTCACAGACAAGCCTATGAACTTCACTTCATCAACCTACTGGATACAACAAAATCATGGACTAAATATAGACACTGGATTTATGACACATTATAACCTGACTAACATCTGACTCCCCAGGTACTTCTCCACTATTTAACACCTGCATTCATTCCCCGCCCCCCACCTCCCAGCCTGTCTCTAACCCAGTGACCCCTCAATTTACATCTTCACTGACTTGCTTTCTTGCATGCATACCAGCCTCTGGTTTCTTTGTTATTCATTCCATCCAGGAAGAGCAACTGCAGATGCTTCCTCAGCCTGATGAAGGGTATTTATACCCAAAAGCTTGCAAAGAAGAATTTTTCCAACTATTTGAGTTGGTCCAATAAAAGATATCAGATTTACCCAAAGAACTTTGTCTGCCTTGGAGAACTGTCAGCATGTGACTGGTTTAGTCTGTGTAATCACTGCCCACTGAGCAGGTTACAAGCCCAGTCTAAAGCCTTAGTTGTTTTTTAGCTAATAGACACAGCAGGCTTAGCTAGCCCAGTTTGTACACACCACTAAACCTAAGTCATGGTTGTGTGTATGTGGGCAGAAGAAGTTTTGGGACAACATCTGGTTAAGGATTAGATCCTGGTGTGCCTTGATATCCTTCCAAGGGTGCTGAAGTGTGCCACAGGATGTTAGTACTGTGAGGTGCGCAATCATGATTCACAAAATAAACCCAGAGATTTCAAATAGGAATCCAGAAGGTCATGGACCTTTCTGCCCTGTTGTGATCTTTCTGAGTTCTTTGCAACACAAGCATTGCTCTATTATTTTTTTCTGTAGTAAAAAAAAACAAGTTAAAACTAAGCTGTCATTTTCCAGTGGATGCCTTGAGTCTATCTCAAAGGGTGCTGTGAGTCTAAAAAGGTTGAGAACCACTGATCTTGACTAACTGCAGTGAAAACATGGCCTTAGCAGTAACAATTGGGGCCCTCTGAAGATCCTATGAATGTATTTCCAAATGTCCTGGGCAGAATCCATCCTAGGTAATTCTGCCGCCCAAGTCATCTGAACTTTCAACTGGATTCATGACCCCTTGCTTTCTTTTTTGAAATGCTTTATAGTGTTGCTGGGTGCTCTTAAGTGATAAGATGTCACAGCCCAGAGCTAGCGAGATTTTAACGTGATACAAACTGTTAGTGATTATCAATGCAACAGTGTTTGGTATCAGACTTGAAGGGAGAATCCCAGCAGGGTGTGAATCCTTCCTTGTACTAACCAAAGAAAAGTAGTTGGTCTTGTGCAGGCCTTATAGAGCCCTTATAGAGCCACAGGAGGCTGCTGATGATCTGGTAATGGAAAACAAAGGAGCTCTGCCTTGTGGTGCTGCCCCTGCCTGGCCAAGCTTGCTACTGATTCATTCAGTGATGCAAGGTTTCTGCCGCCCAGCACACACTGTCTTCTCAACTGCTGACCGTGACTCCCTTCATCCCCAGGGAGTTAGTATGGTGAGCAAGCCAAATGCAGGCTGCAGAGCCCTGCAGTACAACCCCAGGTCTCTCATCTCTCAAAGGTGAGGCCCAGGGAATTCAAGGATCCCAGCATATGGGGCTACATTACCTATGTAGCCAAGCTAGAAGGACTCACTTTCTGTGTCATTTCCCTGCAGGGTGCTCAGATGCTGCTGAGAGGTTCTTTACAAATGTAGGAAATAGCCAACGTGTAAGGGCAGGTGCAGCATCTCTTTAGGCAGCAAGCAAGTTGCTAACACAGCCCTAAGGCAGGGCACAGTTGGAGCATCCCTGTCCTATTAGCGTGACTGCATTCTGGCACCTCTTTTAGGTGTAACAGAAGGCAGCCCCGCGGCTACATGGATTTCAATAGCAGTGCAGCTGCCCAGTTGCCTGGCTGTGGCTCTCTTCCAGGACTCGCAGCATACCTCATTGTTCTCCTCCCTGCTGAAGTTATAAGACGGGAGATTGGACGTGACCTTTGTCAAGTGCAGCAGCTTTGTCTCACAGAACTTCAGCTTCTCATAAGTGTCCGTGGTGTCAATGTGGATGTCACCCTGGAGGCAAGAAGACAGCAGAGGCTTCTCAGCCAGGTGAATGAGACTGCATGGTGCTCTGGTCTGCCACAGCTAGACTGAGCTGGCTCAAGCATCTTCAAACTAAACTGCAGTCTGCCATAAATGGAAAGATTCACTCTCAGACAGACACAGGCAAGAGCTCTCTGCTTAGGATAACTCTCCCCTTAGGACAGCCTCAGCTCCCCTCCCTCTGCTTCTCCACACATGATATACCCCTGTGTCCTGAAGGGCTACCTTGTCCTTGACTCCCATTTCTTCCCACCAGACCCAACTATTTGAAGGACTTTTAGGGAAGCATCCACATTCTGCTCAACATTGCCCATCTCTGAGCCCAGACTATGATATCTGATCCTGCCTCTCATCTGAGGCTTGGCCTTGGCATGCTGAACCAGCTGCTGAATCTGTCTCATGCCTGATAATTGGCCTGTACGCGATAGCCCAGACCTACTTATCAAAATGTCTGGGCATCTTGGGCAGAAAAAAAGCTAATGAGTGGCTGGGTCAGGGGAGAAGATGGTACTGGCCATTGGGAGGGTTGGTTAGGGGCTGGGAAGAGGGAAGGTTGAACAGTGCCATAGCATGGGGGGTGGGGGGCGAGCGGGGCCACCGCCCCAGGCACTGAAGCCAGGGGGTACCAATAAGTGCTACCCAGCTGGGGCAGGGAGCGGGACAGAGCCACAAGTAGCTTGTTTGGGGGGGCTTGGGGTTGGGGAAGGGCAGCTCCCACTGCTGCGTGCATTCCTGGGCAAGCATGGCAGGGTGTGTGCCCCCCGAGTCTATGTGCGGGGTGAAGGTAGGCTGCCACTGTGGGCTTTGCCCCAGGCACCAAACTTCCTTGTCACGGCACTGAGAATGAATAATGGCAAGATCCTCCGCAGTACTAGGGAAGTGTCTGCCCCAATGTGGCTGCAGTCTTGTGGATGAGGAAGGTTGGAGTCCAAAGCACACTGGATCCCTGCCCAGACAGACTAGGAATAAGGTGTTTGCCAAATGGCTCCATCCACAGGTTGCTCTGCCAGGCAAGTTCTTGTGCTAGCTGAAACAGCAACACAGGAGTCTTTGCCAAGATATCTGAGCCCTGTAACCTCTGGCCTCACCTTTCCATTTCAGAGGAAAAATAAAAGCATGATTCTACCATCAGTAGGGGCCCTGGGCCTTGCAAATTGCCTTTTCCTTTTGCAGCTGCCACATAAACACACTAGAACCTCAGCAAATTAATCCTCTACTGCTCCTGGCTGTGAAAGAAACTTTCAAAGTAGAGGGCACAGCAAGGTCTACCAAGGCCAGCTGAAGCAAGAGCTAGGGAAGGAGCAAATGGGTTCATTCACTTCACAGGGGGCTTTTTTCATTTGTCCAGTTGATTTGTGTGTGTGGGTGGGTGTTGAATTAGAAATCTGCTCACGTGTCTGCCTGAGATCTGTGCTGCAAGCCACACAGTAATCGTGCGGTGCACTGTTTGGGAATGATGCAGAGTGTCCCTTTCAAATAGGAAATAAACCCTAGAGGTGTAACAGTGGGCTTGGACATTGAGACCAATGAAAACCAGTTCCCAAGGTAACTAATGGGAAAATGGGAGACACAGGTCTGTTGTGCCCCCTCTTGCCCTGCTCAAGGCACAACCATGGCAGGAAGGGCCATGGGGAGCCAGTGGGTGGTGTTCTGCTGTAGGAGGGTATTTTGGAAACATACCTCATTGGGCACCATGACCCCATACAGTCTGATGAAAAGGTTATCTACGCCATTTTCAAAACAAAGCAAGAGTTTCTGATTCTTCAGCATCTGGGTTTGTGTCTGCTCCAGTCTGGTCTCCTCCTGCTCCAAATTCTTCTTCAGTTCTTCCTCCAGTTTCTTTAAGCTGGCAGGGAATATACCTGTTCACACACACGCCCACATGGACAGCCCCAAGGAGCTGTTATGAATCATAGCTATTACAGACACTTCCACAGCTCCCATCTGCACAGCATCTGGATGCACTTTAAATGGCTTAATGGAGAACTGACAAGGTGTTCCAAATACTGTACAGGGAACAACTCCACCATAACTCCCTGCAGCACAGCACCTTTACTCCAGGCAGGGGTGAAGATAATCTGACCCCAAAGACCCATGCCTGAGACTCTGGAGTCCACAGCTGGTGGACAGGCTCAGCAAACAGACACGTCCTATACTGCCTGGCTTTGATGCATTTCCTGCAGAAGCAAATTCCAACAGTGAGTGCCTGCTGTTGAGAATGCCCTTGCTCTTCAAAGCTTGACTTTTCTTCTGCACAGCTAAGTGCAGTTGGCACCTCTGGGTCTCAGACATGTCTTGGAATCCTCTGTCCCCATTGTTATGTCACGGCGTTTGCAGTTCTGTGCACAGGATCCAAGGGTAAGTTTGGGAGTTAGGTGCACACAGATGGACTGCAGGGCAGGGAGTAGTACAAATGCTATGGTGAGTGGAAGGAAGAAGAAAGTGGTGACTTAGAAGATATCAGCTCCCATCTTCACACCCAGGACACCAGAAATGTACGGCTGATGCTCACGACAGTGGAAAATGACCCCCATGCACCAGAAATGCAACATGTTCCCTCCTGGCCTAGACCAGCCTACCGGGCAGGAGATCTGGGTGCAGAGAATCTGGCCAGGGGGTAGCAATATCACAAAACTCTTCTAGGAGCTGCACAAGGGCTGATCTTGTACCTTACTAAGCTTGGGGTCTGGTGGAATTTCAGCTCAGCACGTTCTAGTTCCAGCTCCCTCAGTTTGGCCTCCAGCTCTTTGCGCTTCTGATCACATTCCTTGATCTGTTGCTGCAGATTCTCTGTAGACTTCTGCTGGGCCAGGAACCTCCCTGAAATATCCTGTCCAGGGACAAAAAGAAAGGCATCTCAAAACAACATCTAGTAAAAATCTGATAAATGCGAGATCCCAGCTGTAACCCAGAGTACTGGGGGCTTCAGCCAGCCGGAGCCAGCCATTCAGGTTGATAGCATGGAGCATGCCAAGCTCAGGTTTGTTGCCAGTTATGAGGTAAGATGGTCCATCTCAGTGCACAGGGATGGCCTAAGGCAGAGGTTAGGAGGAGGCAGCAGTAAGAACACCCCGAGAGCCAGGCTCTGTTCTTTTGATAACTGCGTACGCACTGATCTCGGTGCAGTTCTGCTAAGGGTTCTGGAGACACTGAGCTCCCAGTGGGCATGTTATGACTTACAAGGGATAACACAGGTGTTAGAATAGCCACTTTTATATGCCTGTTACATCGTCTCATTAGCACAGACACACCCACTATCACAGCACTATCCCTGCCTGCAGAAGGGGCCTTCCACAATAACATGAGGTGCACAGACAGGGCTGTATGGGCTACATGGGCAGGAGCTTTCAAACTCCATGAAGAACAAGCTAATGGTCTGGTCACTTGCAAAAAAACTCTAAGTGCCAAAGCTCCCCAGACAAGCAGCAGAACATGCCTTACCCAGAGATGTGAGCACTCCACTGCACACTTGACTTTTTCCACGTCAGAGGTCACCTGGCTCTGATACTCCATCTGGGCTTTGGAGGGCTCCAGCTTTACACCTGTGTGACAGGAAGATGCAGCAAAGAGAGAAACAGCTACAGCCTCCCAAGTTGTGGGCTGGAGGGGTGGGGAGATGGGGGCAGGGGCAGGTGGGACAAGAGGGAACAACATCCACCTTGCTCTAGAGCATCCAGATGTCAGAAGGTGATAGTTGTATGTGCAGCAAGGGGCATAAAAACCCTAAGGGTACATTACAAACTCCCAGCTGAGCTCAGATTGGAGAGATATTTCCAGTTTCCCCACAGACTTCAAGCCCTGCAGTGGGATGACAGGTGGCCATCCATGCCACCAGTGGAACACCCAGTTAGACTCATTCCCTTGAAAGACAACTTCTCATTGGCTAATAGGCCCCATTCCCAGCATTTCCTGCCCTTCCTTTTAGCCCACAATGACCTCATCTCATTATCATAGGTCCCATCACACTATTGCCATCTCTTCCCTGCCAATGCAGGCACCCTCATTCAGCATGAGGGTGCTCCAGAGGTATCACCAACTTCCCCACCCTGCAGTGCCCCACCAGGAAGCTTCTGTGGTGCAGGGAGCCATGTGCTGCATTTTACCCAGGCTTGGGAGTGATCCTGTCCCCTCCAACTTCAAATAGCAATATCAGACTCCCTTTCAAGG